TATATACTTTTCTATTTTTTTAAAGACAAATAAAATACATTTTTTTAATAGAAAATGCATTTTTAAAACTTTCGGGGTAAGTTCCAGTTCTTTTGGTTTCTAAATAAATAAATAACATTGATAAAAAGGCTCCTGGACAAACTGCCCAAGGGGGAGGGAAGAAAACACCTAGAGCACCGTATTACCAAGCGCTAATCAACTACAATCTGGGAAATGTCAAACAATGGTATTCACATACTCAAAAATATTGCTGATCAAGTCCTCAGCTGCCATCTACAATCACTAACTAAAACAGGGAATATAGTTGTGGATATAAACAAGAGACAAATTAGTATTGGGAAGCTGGGTTTAATAATCCCCTAAAAGAGACCATCTGTTTATAAAGACCCTCCTTTTCCTGATCTCTGACATGTATGCCTAATATAGACACAGCTGGATTTTTTTCTACATTTTTAAACACCCTGCTACTATAAAGTCTACTTATAGTATATCTGGTCTGAGTGTTTGTCTCAAGTTTCAGTTATTATGTAAGCACTCAGGGGCAATAAAATTTCACATACCGTCAGCCAGCTTTAGAGTAAGTACTAAACCATCAGAGAAACATAAATGCACTTCTTTTATTATTGATGTTCAACTGGATGCTTTTCTGCTTCTTTTCTGTTTGTTCTGTTTTTTTATTTTTTTGCAAATGTTCATATTATCAGTGTTTCCTGGAATAGCTATCTGACATTAAGAGTTTAAGTTCTCAATGCACATTTGGAACTACAGGCCACTTTTCTTGCTTTCCTGCTTAAACTGCCAAGAAACCACATTGCTCCTAATGATATGACGTGGACAACTTGGTGAGCCAGGTGATTTGCAGGTATGAAAAAGCAAAGCAGATCAGAGCCTCTGTTTCCAGTCTACTATGGTAACGAAAAGGAACAAAAAAAAAAAAAAAAGAAAAAGAAACAATGACTATACACTTCTCACAGATAGAGGTCACTAATGGACTGGATTTGAATCAGTCTGGTAGAAGCCTCAAAGTTATATGAAAGTAATCTAGTGAAAAATGAACTCATTTTGAGATTAAAGAGGTAAGAGAAATGACTGAGAAATAAAGCTCTCACCTTCCTGGAAACAATATTATCTTAAGTGTGCCTTCTTTCAAGTCCTTTAAATAGAAAGCGCAGTACAGGAAAAGCCTGATAGTGATGCCTGTTTGAACTCCTTTTTGTTTTATTGGCTTGGTAAAACTGTGACTATCCTTCATTTCTGCAGGAAGGGTAGGGAAGTCAGCCCTAATGACATCCTACACTTTGGATACTGCTATTTTAAGCAGTTAAAGACAAGCACATTCTTGATTCTCGATGGAAACCATAGCCTGTGTAATGCAGATTCCAACTGGGAGAGTGTAGGGTTGCGCAAAGGAGATATGTCTGCATCCTAAATCAAACTATCCAGCAGGCCAGGATATAAATGTGACTTGCAACAGTGGCTCAAATTAGATCCAGGTTCTCAAAGCCAAATGCAGATAACATCACCCTATACAAAATATAGGGTGCCTGTGTGTGTGAGCAGCGAATCTTTTAAGAATGCTGGGTGCGTTCCAGCACCATTTTTTCTTGTTACAGCCTTGGACTTTGGAAAACACTGATGACCGCTGTAGTCGCAGGTAGTTTTACAGACATGGTATTTACACAGGGATTTGGCTTGCTTCACACGCAGAATTCCAGGCCTGCATGCTCTTACTTTATCTGTCTACCAGTTCAAATAGGAAGTCTCCTATAGACGGTAAAGATGTTTGAAATTTGTCCCTTTGTACCCCTTTCAGGAACAAAATAATCATTAACTTTAACATCACATTATACACTTAAAATGGTGACTTTCAAATATTGTTGTTTATATCTTTTTGGTGATGCAAAGATTATGTCTCAGTGAGAACACTGCATACATTGACTCTTAAGGAGAAAGGAAAGATAGGTAGGGACAGGCAAGCAGGGATATGTAAGTGCAGTATCTTTAAAACGATTTGGAAAAAAAAAAAAAAAAAGCCAGAATAGATTTTCCCCCTTTCCAAATATATGCATTTTTTGAATCAATTAATGAGTTTCCTCTGAAAAAAAAATTGAATTACATTGAATTACGTAAAGGTACTCTTGCAGAAAGACCATGTTGGTGTCAGTGAAAGAAGCAATGAAGCCCAGGGAAGATTTTTTTTTTTTTTAAGCTGAGCAGGGATCAATCTCAACCTCTAAATTGGTTTTATTTCCCCTGCAAGCACCAAGAAGTTAGATGCAGTAAATAAACCTCTGTGTAACACACACCCTGTCTTTCTGTATGCGTGTGTGTCTGTGTGTGCATGTCTGTGTGAGGGAGAGAGCAGTCTGACTTGCTCTAGTATCTTTTCCTGCTTCGCATGCAAGGAACTTCTCCCTTTCTATTTAGCCCAGCTCTGCATTGCAAAAAGCAGTATCTGAAGAAATCTAATCAGTACCTTCCACACACAGTACAGGAATTTACACGGATTTGTGCCTCGGATTTATTAGCTTATTGTAAGCCTTAAAACAGATTTCCTCCATTAAAATTAATTAAAAGCTCCTGTTGACTGATTCCCACTCCGAAAAGAAGGTGAAGAGCTTCTCCCTTACTTTTTTTTTTTAAATCTTTTGTGGGGTTTAATCTCACGCTGTGTCTTTCCAGCTCTTTGACTTCTTTTTCGGGATGTGCTTTTTGTTGTTGTCGCTCGCCTTCCCCTCCCCCTCTGCGCATTACTTATTATTTTTCCAGGGGCCGCTCTCCGATCCCGCGGCTCCGCGGGGGCTCCTTTGTGCTCCGCGCCCCGGTGCCATCCCCGCACCTCGCCCCCCTGCGCCCCCGCGTAGCCCCCGCTGCCGAGGCCGCGCACGGGATCCCGCGGATCCTCCCGCCGCCCGCGCTTCTCTTTACACGTCTCAGCGCTGGCCGGCGCGGAGCTAGACCGACTTTCTCTTTCAAGAAAGGCTCCTCTTTTTAAAGTTCCCCTTCCTCAAAGCCACCTCCCCGGAAGGAGCAATCGACGCAGCCGCGCTGGGGGCGGGCAGTGCCGCTCG